TAAAGAAAGTACGTATTTAAGTCAAACATTTTATATCTTGACTTAAATACATACATATTTTCCAACGAAAAGAATAAAGAGAATTAAATTAATTTAATCAAATAAACAACCAATGCATTGAAAAGTATTTATTCTTTCTTAAATTTTTTTTTAAAGAATGAGATTAAGACCCACATATCTGCTTGATAAATAGGACAGGATAATAAAAGTTCCTGAAAATTCCATTTATTAACTTTAAAGATAAAATTAAATTCTTTATTTACAGCGATTGATTTTTTTAAATTAATCGTTTACTTACAATTAATCCTATCGTAACAAATTTTGTATTTGCAGAAGAATGCTAGCTTATATGAATTTTATCTTGAGAAAAATGTGAACAATTTCTCAAGTTAAAATTAAAATTTATATCAAGAAAATATTTCCTAGAAATGCTCTATTGAGTTCTACTGAAAAACGTTCGCCTCGTTTATAATATTGCTGCACTACACATAAACTACATTCGTTTCCGCAATGAGCGTATCAAGCAATAACGATATCATGTATATATTCTCATCCTTTCTGTGCAACATCCTGTCATAACAAATAACGAGAGATACAGATGTCGTTTCTTTATCGTTTCAATTCAAAACGTTTTAAGTGGAAAAAAAAATATGACTCTTTGCTTTCCCCTATTATTTTTGATAATATAAAGATTAATTGAAATAATCTTAAATCAATCATTTATGTCTTTTTAATAAACTTTTGATGTAATTCATAAATTGTGCAACCAGAAAGATTAATAATTTATGATGAGACAATAATTAATTTTTGTCAACATAAATTGAGTGTACAACATTGTGTGTTGTCGGGAGAGAGAGGGAGGGAGGGAGGGAGGGAGGGAGAGAGAGAGAGAGAGAGAGAGAGAGAGAGAGAGAGAGAGAGAGAGATATGTATTTTCTCACATCTGCAGAAAAATTTAATTACTTGCGATTAATAGTTCGAAATTATTTTATATTCCGAAATAAAAATAGCTATCTATACATAATTGCAAAAAAGATTTTAATATTAAAGGGTTAAACCTAAAAAATTAATAAGATTTAGCTGCGCCTTTCTCTCGTGCTTATTTTAATTACGTTGCGCAACACGAGCACAATGTCTTACGTGTTTCCATGGTAAACGTCTCAACTTCCACTTAAGCAAATTTACTTTTCGTATCATTTAACAAGTCCCGCGATCAATTAATTATAACATACAGGTCACGTAATGTGGCGCAATTGTTAACAATTGTTAACAAAATTTACGTCCTTGTAGCAGCTTTTATCTCCTGATTATATATTCGTGAAAATATTCTTTTCTTATCTAAAAGAATGGTAATCATTCATCTTTTTTTTACATTTGCCACTGCAAAGCACTTGTCTCACGCAGCGTGTCACCGCGGCATTTTATAGCGCAGTGCAGTGCAAGTATCTGAACCTAAGTGATAACGCTTGGCATAATTCATGTTGTATACTTCTGATAAAACGAATCGCTGCTCTTCTGAGCCACGTGTGTGGATTCGTGATCGGCAAAAGTTTATGAAAGCCGCCGCGCGTGTACACATAGATTTAGGCGTATTTTGTATAATGCGATTTTCATGCTGCTGATCCTGTATTCGGAATTATATATCTATCCGTGATATATATACTCTTCTTATATATAGAGATCATATGTTGAGACAGATTTAACACGTCCTGCACTGTTAAATTCATATAATGACGAACAATTTGTGTTATTTTTTTAAAATGATTTCTTTAGGTCGCCACTGCTTCTATTCAATATGTTAATTTAATTACCGCAATATATTTAATTCAAGAAAACGTAATTAAATTGACACAAATTTTAATTCATTATTTACTGCACACGTTAATATGGACATTGTTGATTTTGAACCATTGAAATTAATCACAGAAATGGATTGAGTTATATTTTGATACATATGGAAGTAAAAATAAATGTTATTTAATATTATATTTCTCGGAATTCTTTGGAGAGAATTTACTCCAAAGAATTTAGAGAGATAAAGGATTGCATTGCCATTGCTTTTTTGATATCTAACATTGTGATCAGTCTATCTAAAAGTTCGAGCATGTAAAGTTAGCACCCTAATTCTCAAGAGTTTTAATTCTGATTAGAATTCCCACTTCCTTTTGACGAGACGAAGTGTTCCCTATAGTTTCAAACAAGAGTTCAGCTTAATAGCAATTTTTAATTAATTTTTAAAAAATGGAGTGCCTTTTTTACGAAATTCATCGAATAGTTCTGAACGACTTAATAGCTTTATTTTGTGAATATATAGAATTTCTAATACATAAAAAAAATGTCAAACTATAAAAAAAATTTTTGAGAAATTAATTTTTAAATGGAGACATTTAGCATGCATTAGAGCAGACACAGCAGTATGTAAGCTCATCATGCAAGAAATGCATCGTGTACGGTCGGTTTAACTTCACATACCTTGAAAGTTCAACGAGCCCTGCTCGTTTTTCTGGCTACTATTGTTTTTTATTGTTTTTTTTTCTATTACAATGAAATAAGTTTACAGGGTATTAAAGAGCCAACCGCAGAATTTGTTGCGTAAAATTATTTTATATATCTAAATAATAATTACATGAATGATATTCAAATCTATTCTTTTTGTTGAATATCAAATTCATGTAATTATTTAGATATATATATAAAATAATTTTACGCAACAAGTTCTGCGATTGGCTCTTCAATACTCTGTAAACTTATTTCGTTCTAATTATTATTATTTAGAGCCCTTTAAAGTTGTTATAATAATGTTTTTTCTATTACTAATTTTTTAATTCTTTATATCTTTTGTTAATTTTGAAAAATATTTTAATTAGGGTAACTCCAGTATTTACGCTGCACGAGGATTCATGAAAATCAGAAAAAATAGTGATAAGTGTGATGATTTGCATATAACCTTTGCACTCTGTTACATATTTTTATGTTATATTGATATTGTATTATGATTTTAGTTTCTTACTGTTAATATTAATACTGTCACAGTTGAATCGATTTGTCAACGTAATGAATAGCGCAATCATATATCAATATATATAATTCGTCAAATGATTATTGTAGAGATTGCAAAAGTTATTACTTAATAAACTTAATAGTTATTTAATGATATAAGTGTAAAGGGGATAGTAAAGAAATGAAACATAGCAAAATACAAGTACTTAGCTCTTATGTTCTTTGCTCAGCTTGATGTCTTATACAATATACTCGTATTCCACCTGTTTGGGATATACGGCATTTGTAGAGGGCGAGATTTA